GAATATTACTCAGCCATAAAAAAAGAATGAAATCTTGCCATTTATGACAGCACGGATGGATTTAGAAGGTATAATGGGAAGCGAAAGAAGTCAGAGAAAGACAAATACCATACGATTTCGCTCATGGAATTTAAGAAACAAACAAAAAGAGGGACCAAAAAAAAAAAAAAAAAAAGTCTTAACCAAAAAGAGCGAACTAATGATTACAAGAGGGGAGGTGGGTGAGGGATGGGTGAAAGAGGTAAAAGGGATTAAAAGTACAGTTACCACGATGAGCACTGAGTAATGTATATAGAAGTGCTAGGTCACTGTGTTGTACACCTGAAACTAATGTAACATTGTATGCTGGTTATATTGAAATTACAATTTGTAAAAAAGAGGACCCCAAAAAGCTTTTGCTTGTATAGGTTATATCTACTGCTATTTAATGTTAGAAATTAAAATAAATTTTTTCTTTAGGTTTATTTATTTTGAGAGAGAGAGAGAATCCCGAGCCGGCTCCATACCGTCAGCATAAAGCCCAATGCCAGACCCAAACCAGAAATCATGAGATCATGACCTGAGCTGAAATCGAGAGTCTGACGCTTAACAAACTGAGCTCCCCAGGCACCCCTGAAATAAGAGATTTTTAAATGCTTGCTTCATTTAAAATAAAAGACTATTATTACATGTTAGCATGTTTTTATGAAAAATAGCTGTATCTTACAAATCAAAAAATTTAGTGAGACAGATCGCCGTTTTTTTTTTTTTTTTTTTTACATTTTTTGCAAATCTCCTTAATATCTGACTTAATCTGAGACAACTGGAATGTCATAGCTGGTTGTGCTGTCAGCCTGCTAACGATGTTACTTGATTGAAGTGTATGAAGAAAGTCCGACCTTACAAAGATACGTGGTTGGAAAGCGGGAGGGTGGGTGTTTTAAGAACTTTCTCAGAAATTTGCAGAGACTCTTCTTTGATATTACACCAAAACTTGACAAGTAGCAATTTCTTAAAGCTCAGTTACAATGTGGAATCTGAAATCACATCAGTGAATTTTCTGTACTTATTTCCGTATAATCTACAGGTGCATTTACATATAGCCGTCCGAAGACATCATGCTTTGGTCATTTGGAACAGATGGTTCACTGAGTTTCGTGCTCTTCCAGATATTGACACATTTCATTATACAGTGTCAAGGAGTCATGGGGCACCTGGCTGGCTCAGTTGGTTAAGCTCTGACTCTTGATTTTGGCTCAGGTCATGATCTCATAGTTCTTGGGATCCCACCCCCATTAGGCTCCGAGATGACAGCACAGCTCCCTCCCTCCCTCCCTCCCTCCCTCCCTCCCTCCCTCCCTCTCTCCCTCCCTCCCTCTCTCCCCCTCTCTCTCTCTCTCTCTCTCTCTCTCGCTCGCTCTCTCTCGCTCTCGCTCTCTCACTGTCCCTTCCCTGCTCATGTGCCACACATGCTCTCATGCTCACTCTCTCTCTTTCCCAAAATAAATAAATAAACTTAAAAGTCACATCAATATCACCACAAGTCTCATCAGTATGGAGAAGCTGTCATACTCACAGTGATGGATAAGAGTTTCTTCAAACTCTGATTTCTACTCAAAAGCTCAAATTTTACCATCAGCAGCAAGCCCTGGGAACTGTTTTCTGTGATGTGCCAGCACACAGCAACCCCCCACCCCCCCGCATCCCCGCAGCTTTGTTCTTCTTTGAGCAAATACCTACCAAATGCCCGGATCGGAGTAAAGACATTGCCACTTGATCTTCCAAGCAAAAATGTTGTTGTGATGGAAAAAAGTGGCTAGTTGAGCTCATAACTCAAACCACCACAAAAATGTTCTTTTTTTTAATGTTTCTTTATTTTGAGAGAGAGTGCATGCGCACGTGCACGCGTGAGCAGCATTGGAAGAACCGAGAGACGGGAAGAGATAGAATCCCAAGCAGGCTCCGTGTTGTCAGCGCAGAGCCTGACGCGGGGCTCCGTCCCACGACAGTGGGATTGTGACCCGAGCCGAAGTCAAGAGTCAGACGCCTAACCCACTGAGCCCCCCGGACAGCCCCCGTCACAAAAATGTTCTTAAAACATTTCTTCTTGGGGCGCCTGGGTGGCGCAGTCGGTTAAGCGTCCGACTTCAGCCAGGTCACGATCTCGCGGTCTGTGAGTTCGAGCCCCGCGTCAGGCTCTGGGC